AACGTTTTGGAATATTTAAATTTATTGCATCGCATTTTATTTTGTGCGGTGCGCTAATTTATTGCCCTCAAAACTGGATTAAACCCAAAAATGAAATATAAAACAATAAATAATACTTTAAATAATGTAAAATTAAATGCTGCGCTTCGAAGCAAACAAAATATTGATCACTTTAATAAAATCCGTATCTGTGTTAATTCCATCAGAAATTAATAATGCATTACGTTAAAATAATGTCCCGAACCAACATTAAATATCGGTTAGTTGTATTGATTGAAAACAAGAAAAATAAACATAAATTTCATTTCGCAAATGTCGGTCACAATCGAATATTGCTGAGTGCGAAATATAATTAAATATCCAATATTAATGCGAATCTAATTACATGTATGGCGACATTGTTTCGGAAATATATGACTGTTTTATGCAATATTTTCTCATTGCAGAGCTGTAAAAGGTTGTTACTGCTTTGCGCCAGCTTGGCAATGAACGGTATTTATTGTTTTGTAACAAATTTATGCGAAAAATGCAATTAATGACTTCTGGGCCGCAGAGCGCATAGGTATGTAAATTGCGATATAAATGTGATAAACGTTTGCAAAATACCTGAGGGCATAACGCAATAACATTCTACTAAAAGAATAAGTTTATTCAGCACAAAACAAACGCATCCCAAATGCGTGAAGATGGGTTTCGAATTAAATTAATTTACGTTCAACAAACGTCAATATTTATTATATATCATATTATTCAAATTGAGCGTAGTCGAAATTAATGTGCATGACGGTCCTACGCAGTTTAAATTAAAAACATATTTGATATCTCATAGCTGAAATTGTTTTTGCGTTTAATTAAACATATTTTACAAAATTAAATGGCTATGATTTCGATGATTCCAAACGAAATACTAAAAATATTTCAGCAAATGTTTATCGCGTTACCTACAATATTAAAGTGAAGATATTTTATGTTATCGACGCGATGAAAAGTAGTTAAGGACTAAAGGCTGGCGGGGCAATAAGAAGTAAACAGGGTATCGTAAATGACACGACGCTATGGAAGATAATCCGAGCATTTCTCGAGCGTTATTGACATCGCATATTGCACCCGACCGCACGCCATTGCGCCGCGCTAATTATAAGTTAATTACCTGCGCGCAACTCGTTCGTTTTAATAGCCTCACGTGATTCAGCCCAAGCCTAACCTTATTCGCCTTTTCAGGCAACCCTATACTCACGCACAGTAGAAGCATAGGAAAAGTAGTTAAACGAAAACGCATCAATTTCATTGATTAGCTTCTTGCAAACATATTGAATTTTAGATTAAAATTCTCAAGTAGAAATATACACATAACATGTACGGTTTGTCATCAAACTGTAATTGATCACCAAGTTGGTAATATCGAGAAAAATAATCTGGTGAAATAATATAATTCTGTGGAAATAGAGAAAACATTAAACCAGTACGACTCGTGATCGCGAGAGAGTTTGAACCGAAGGAAAGAAAAATAATTAGAAAGCGATGCTCGGCAATTGAATCGAATCAGTGGAATAGAAAATGTAATTTTAGTTTTTGAACAACTTGCCGCCCTGTCTGAAGCAACAAACGTCGAGTGTAGATTTACACAACGCAAACGCAAACCCCTTTTGCGGAGGCAAGCGCTAGATGAGTTCGAAATGAGGTGAAGAATTCGACGAAAACATTATTCCCGTTATTTTATACGCCACGTGCGCGTGAGTGTAAAACAAGAAATAAAAATGCAATTGAAATCGAGATCTAAACGGATAGTAAAAAGTATATTGCATTCCTTTATAATTAAAGCACAAACTGGCAGAGACAATCTCATTTCATCAAAAATAAAACATAAAAAAGTTGAAAATGCTGAAAGTATATTAATCTGAGATGTTACAAATTAATTAGCGATGTCGATACATTCGCGATAGTTAAAACTTTCTTGAGGATGTCTAGACTCAATTTAATTAATTTTCATTACGTAAATTAAATTACGTAACATTATAGAACAATGGCAAATGGAATACATTTCAATGCATCGAAGCAATTTGCAATTTTATTTTGCATTTGATTCGAAACAATTCGATTGGATATAAGCAAATGGCTTTTCATACGATTTTCATTTCTTTCGCAATGGCTAACCTCAGGCATGAATGCCTGAGTAGCGTTTATCGCAATGTGTAAAAGTCCCCACAAACCTCTGCCTTCCATCGTTAAACAACCTGATTATACACCGAGAAACGTATTATATTAGTATTTCTTATAAATTTTCAATTTTCCAGTGGTTTTCAATTGGTCTGTGGCGTGCTCTACGCGAGAATAAATCGGCCGCTTTTATGGCGAGTACTTTTCCTTTATTTTCACATCAAAAACATCAAAAATAATTGGATTTATATTGACAGTTGTGCACTGCCGAACAGGAGCGGCTCGTTACGGTTGACACATAACCTATATTCTCGACTTTAAACACGTTTTATATAAATAACTCGCTGACAATTTGGCATCTTTTATCGATTCAAGTGTAAGAGATGTAACTTAGGCAACCCGTAATCCATTTGTTGAAGTGCATTCGGTTGCCTAGATTAAATTATGCACACGGACGCGGAAATGAAATGTTATTTTTTAATTTGAATTTTTTCCGAGTGTAATTTATGAATTTTTTAAATTCCACCGGTACGCACATCTTCGTCACTCATTAGCTAGCCGGCCGGTGGAAGCGAGTGTTCCCACTTGTTGAAAAAAATTAATTAAATCGCAAGCTTTCGCACATCGCTATGCGCAGCTATGAAGGCTGCGTGTTCAGAGAGGGCTTCGACTAAAACGGATGTTGTTCTACGTTCACTCATGTTGGATGTAGGAATATCTACGCGTTACGCTCGCGAGAGCACGTTGAACATTAGCAAACAGCGCCAGTGGTGGAGGCGCCGAGCCGGGCAGGGTAATACAGGCGGCATGCAAAACAGTTGTTGGCATTTATGATTTTAATCCTCGGTAATCCGTTAAAAGAATGTGTGCGTCGACTAGAAGAAGTACACACCAGCGCGGATTTAATTAGCGCACAGTGAGAATATTTACGCGCTGCGTGAACGCGTGCACAGACGTGCATTTGGTTGGCCACATTCAAGGCGCAGTGTCTGCATGTGACTATATTCTAATTGCCAGCATGTACACGACTTGCGGATTGTTTAAATTAAAACTAATGCACACGTCCGGCCAAAGAGCTAATGTATGTGAAACTGAAGTTTTGGGCGGAACTTAAGGGATTCGCTGTTGTGATTTACAAACACAATTTTGATGTGAATATTAATGTCAGTGTGTAATTCATAATAACATAAAAATGCTTTAAAAAACTTTGCACGGCTTTTGACGCTCGAAATTGTTGTAATATATTTTGCGCTAATAAATTATAAAGAATTAGGTATTTTTACATCATAAAAGCCGTTCGTGTTAACTTTTGGTGGGGCAAAATTAAGCGGATTACTGGATTTGCACGTGTCGGGGTAGTTAGGCAACCAAAACAGCGTGTGACCCATATGCACTTTTGGAATTTTCACGCCAAAGCCATATTACGCTATTTGAACATTTCGATACACACGCATCAGGAGATAAAATCACCCGCACACATATCAGCACTTGTCGTGGGCACAAAAAGATGCGACACACAAGTATAAAGATGTATCAATAAAATAAGTGTCGCATGCATTCGCAGCCTCCAGCGCCTTGACGAGTAGCATCGTAACAGTGACAATGCACCACTGCGACACTCCAAGTGCATGCACACATCGCTAAGCTGTGAATGCGTTTATTGCGCCGCAGTAAAACTGTTTGTGTGAAGGAGGATGAAAATGCCTGCCACATTGTCAGCGACAACATAATGTCAACCCGTAGAATGGCCTTGTTTGCAACATTTGCAAGCAGCATTCGCAATTGTGATGATGCGCGCTACTGGTTGGAATGCGTAACTTCACAGTAGATGATGTATGACCAACCTACGGGGATTGAGAGGATGTGAAACACCAAACATCAAAAAGTACGCATTTCTGGTCGGAGCTGCGGGTGGGTCAATTCGCTTAATGCAGTTTGGGATTAACGTCGGTGGATGAAACGCGCGCCGGTTGCACGCGTGATGGATCCGTTCGGATCAATCGTCCGCGTGACCAAAACGGATTTTGCGAAATGGATTTATTTGACACACAGGAGTCCAAAATGTAAAAGAATTTTATGCTCAAAACGGAAATTCAAGTTACAATGAATTTCAAAAAATCGGAAGTAAAATGAATGAAAAAAGATGAAAAGTGATGATTTCATTGTTTTGTTTTCGAGTGTTTGCAAATGATTAACACTACCTGACGAAGTCGTGCAGGTACAGGGTCGTGGATGTGATGCTGATGGAACCATCCGGCGATGGAGCCGATCGTGAGAGTGCCGGAGAGAGCCAGCAGACAGAGACACAGAGCCACCAGGAGGCGGCTCTGACTCGACAGGACCATCGCCATGGTGAAGGCTAATCCAACTTAAGGGGGATGATATGATGGTGTAATCCGCGCGTGCGACCAGTGCGTGTTCGTGTAGGGGTTCACATCACGTCGCCTTCACTGCGCTGGCAGACAGACAACAAAACCAGCGGGACGTTTGAATTCGCGAACGAGCGCCCACGGCGTGCGCATGTTGTGGCGGGATCGCGCGCGGTAACGCGCTGAAAGGGTTGGCGCGCGGCCGAGCGGCGGGTGCTGACTGAGAGCGCGTCGGGCGAAGACTAGCCGCCCGCGTGCCGCCGTCGGTGGACTGCGATCTGCGCATCCACGCTCCGAGGATGTGCCGCGGTATCGAGAGCACACGGTACGGCATCGGACAGAAGTGCCAAATAAATTAACTAATTACACATGACTGTGATCTCGTCAAATTTCATTCGCATTTGGGTCACGTAATCAACAACAATCACAAAGAGAGCCATTTTCATAAAAATTCAGAAAAATTATTTCACTCACCTCGTAATTTTCATCTATTTTTGACCCAGCCTTAGCGATGTAAAGTGTACTTGCAGATTCAAACGTCAATTCCAAAGGATTCCGCTTAACATCCATAGTGTCAAATTCCTCGCAGTTAAAGAACAGCGTCACATTATCAGTGGTGACTTTGAATGCAAACTTTGTCCAGACGTTGACAAAACGATCAACAGTAAAGTAAGCAATCGTATCACTGTTCAACTGCGAGGGATCAGTGTAAATCAACGAAATAATCGTTTTCGTTGAATGAGAACGATGGGTTGCAAGCTTGACGCCAAGTTGCACCATGTTCTCATGAGAATTGACAACAGCGAAAAGATATCCAGGACGTGTGGAGAGTGGGCGCACACTCATCAGTATCGAGAACTCAGCGGGCAGCTTTTCCGGAAGAATGCCGCGGTATGGAATTTTCACGTCAGAGCCATCACGGAAGCCGAAACCGGCGAAACCATCAGAGCCTTCTTCCTCGACGTATTGATAACGAGCATCTTCGAAGGGGATTTTTACGGCCGTCAAAAGATCATACTCATCTTCTGTAACAAATCAAACAAAAAACAATTATAGTATATATATATGCAACCCAAATTACATAAGTTGAAGTGTTGGTTGGGTAGCGTATAAATAATTACAAGTATGAGTAGTCATTAAATATCAATTTCCGCCGATTACCAACAATAATTCGTAGCCGAAACTTGCACGAGTGGGCCAAAATAAACAAGAAGTAGAATTACCTCAGATATTACATGTTTCCATGCCGGAGAACTTATTGTACGGGCTTTTCTCGGTGCGCCGGTGCCTCGCATTACCCTAACTACCACGACGGTGAGGCACAACAAGTTCAAAGGCGCTTAATTATTTATCGCAAAATTTCGACTGGAAATTGTTTGGCCGCGTATAAATTAGTTTAAGCAGCGCGAACAAGTGTTCAGCCCCACGTGCTGCTACATAGCGCGCAAAGTGCGATAAACGTTATGCGAAACGATCCAGGCGTCGAGAGCTGCGGGATCAGTGGATCACAGGCGTCCGGAAAATGCGCTTGCATTTCTCGGCCCTGCCTTGGTGCATGAAACAAAAATCGCTTACTTTATGTCTTGGATCGCAGTACACCATAAAATAGATCTGCGGGCGAGCTGTGCAGTTTATTAGATTTTTTATGTATCTCGGCTAGAAATTAAATCAATCTTTATGCGAACTCCCTTAACGCATGCAATATTGCATAACTGCTTATTTTACGTGAGAAAAATAATAATTCAACACTGTGTCAATTTATGTAGATTATATCTAACATGATATTGTAAACCAGCAAAACTTGCACTATCGAAATTTAGTAGAAATCGTAAACCGACATCATTTCAATTAAGAGTTTGCACAAAAGTTTATAAAGTTTAAACATATTACTAGTAGGTAATTCAATATTATAACATACTCATAATATGAGAGTTAATAAAGTTTACAATATTAAATATTTCGATAAAACGCCCCGAAATTGAAAATATTCTGAACTCTTGACATTAAATTTTAGCGACGGTTACCACAAGACCGCATAATAAGAGCTGTCAATCAACGCAAAGTGTGACAAGGGTTTACTCACGCTTAAGCATATTTAAAATGTGCAAATTTTACAATTTCTCATGCCCTTGCGGCATACTTTGCTTTACTAAAATTGCGGAAATACTTTGGGTTTAATACCAACACAAGAGATACGAAAAAAACCGTGCGGTTCGATTTCCATTTTATTTTTTCGCGCAAAATTTAAACCGCAACGCAATTACATATATTTGCATATCTATTAGGCGTACATTCGAAATTACCATAAAAATATTGATAAAGCAATATTTGCATGCGTATAAAACAAAAAATTCAACAACACACGCGCGCGCAGATAACCGAAATTGATTCTTCGTCGCGCGCACAAAGAGAAACATCATAAAATATTCACAAACGGCTTCAAATTTTCCCATCGCAGGCGCAATGTCCACGAATGGACTTAGTAAACAAAGCGGTTGAGTTTTTTTTTTGTATATCTGTTGTAATTTCGAGACGTTTTCTAAATTAAACTTTGCAATCCGCCCGATACCTTGGGAATAATGTCGCGCGGAAACGCCGAGGAATAAATTTGAAAAAATACGTTATTATTTAATGACGCATGGTTGTCGTCTGTACGCGATGTTGCCGCCGTCGTTGTAGTCGCAAGGACGAAGAAGCCGAACGCGATGTGCATTTTATGAATAAAACGAACGAGTCTCGTGTGCATGTGTGCAAGCAGCGCGCGACAAAGGTGCATGCGAGTGGAAAAGCGGCAGGAATGCATCCATTGAATTTATACTGGAATTACGCTCGTATCATCTTGCGACGCCTTAATAAAACGTCTTCATATTTTTTGACAATAATAGAATTTTTGTGGATGCCACGTTAGCATATGTCAGCCAGCTGCCATCGCGTGCGAAAGGAGGGTTGTAAAGTGAAATGCGCAGCCGAATCAAATTAGAGTTGAAAAAAATTGAACGAAGATTTAAAATTAATAAATATAAAGAAAAATCGTGACAACTGACCTGAGAAAAATAATTTTTTAGGTGTAGTCAATTTTTGATTAAATACATAACCATATATTAACATAAAATTAAATAATTAACAAAAATCAATAGCCATAATCCTTAATTAGTAATTACAGATAATATGCACACGATCAATAGCTACGGCGAGAGCTAATGCTGGAAAATTAATTGATTTATTACCATTTTATTAGCGACATACAAGTTTAGCCATGATAATTGAAACGCGGAGATTTGTCAAAAATCAACACTTGGCATAATTCATGCTAATCCGTTAATGTATGCATCAAATCTACTGCAATTTTAAAATTAAAATTTATACTAATAAGCAACTGAAAATGTTTTAATTAATTAAATATTAAAGTGTATTTAAAGCTTTGCTGCTCGTAAGTAATTTGAGCACTACACTTCGCCTGACAAAGTTCGTATCTTCGTTCGAATTTCATCACATTAACTACACCACTAAAACAGAACAAAGTGATGAATAGTGTCAACGCTATTTCCGCGACAGAATAACGCATAATATTAACGACGATCGTCGCACGAAGCGATAAACCATCAAAATGGATGTTTTACGCTTTCTATTAGATTGAGTCGGTCTCGCAAATCAGATTTTCCTACTTGGTATTATCGAGCTTTTAAGTGGTGAGAGCATCGTGATGAACGCGTTATTAAATTCGCTGACGCAACTGACAAGTTCATTTTTGCCCGGCGATTTTATTTGCGTCTAAATGAGCAAATTGATTTCAATTCGTAAATCGTAATAATTGGAAATCGCTGCTCAAGTCGTCACGCTAAAGAGCTCATAATACCGACTAGGATACTCGTAGATTTTCAGAAACGTCATATTAAAAAGTAAAAATTCATTCGTTCAGCATTTATCGAACATTTCGCTGAGTATCCTAGCGAGAACTTGAAATTAAATTGAACTTTGCATACTTTTTTCTGAAAAGTTGAACAAGTAATGAATTTTTTTTTGTGTTAATTTAGGTTATGAATGATTTTTGACAGACATAAAGAAAAAATGTGAAATAAAAAATCCGCACGAATATAAACAAATATTTTATGCTGGTGCTTAAAATCTGTAGCAAATAACAATAAAAAAACATATTTTGTGCCATTGTATGCATTGATTGTTTAAATACAGTCTGGCAATGGTGCGTGGATGAAGCGGCATTTAATATTTGCAAATAAAATAAAATCTCGATAGAAAAGCTTCAATTAGCGAGATGCTCTATAGCTGTGCTGCGTCTATTTACTTTTTCAATTCGTTGATTTAAAATAGCAGCAATATAAAAAAAATCGTATTTGTCGACGCGTTTTATTTGTTGATAATAAAATGATATTTGTTTACATGCGTACGAACATGATGACAATGCGCACATTATGCAACAAGGGCAAGCCAGGACACAATCTAATATTTAACGAAATTAACACAAAAACCAAATTAACACAATCGCCATCATAAAACGCCCGCCCACAAGCGCAAACAGCTATTAATAATGCATTCAACACAGGGCGAATTTTTGCGCTCGTTTTGTTCTCATTCTCAGCTGATTAGCATTAAAAACGTTCTGCTATAGCAGCAAAATGTATAGCAATACGATTAATTTTTGAGGAGAATTAATCATTTCAAACAAGCAAACCGAATAAAAATAATTAAAAATTTTATTGTCGTTTTGAATGATAAATTAATTACGCGCTCAAGTGATGAAAGTAATTTATAATACGCTCGACCTAGATTCGGATTTGTTATTTGGTCGGGCGGCGCGCAATAAAATCAATTTGCTATTTACGTTCTTACGTTCAGGCGGTGCAACACGAATTATAGGAAGTTGCTGTACGAGGTGCATCCGGCGAAGAAACACAAACGTTGTAATTCTTTTGTCGTGCGCCCATGCAGAAATATTAAATTGCACACGACATGTGTTATAGGCGGCAACCCAAATCACAAGTGCATGGGAATTCCCGTCAATATTTGTGATGGACTAGTGTTACAATAGCTTTACGTTTAAATGAATGCACATATCCACGTTGTAAATTGCAAAAAGTTGAGATGAAATTTGTATCTGATTTTGTATAGTGCCGCGCACGTCGGTTTGGCGGAACAACAATACTCACATCCACACAAGGAAATGGCGAAGTTATATTGCTGTAATATTGTGTGAAATCGTGGCGAATGCATAGTTCGAAAACTATTTGTCGAGCGGACGCGCGCGCGAGAGGTGGAAGAGTTCGCACGTGCAATTTTCTCCGTTGCGCCACGAAAATTTATAAATACGAATTTATTTTCTCTAAATGCAAACCTGAAAGCGATATTTCAACGCGCCTGATATTTATTTGCTGCTTTGAATAAAGCATTTTCGCGGAAATACACTTTTGGCGCTATAAACCACTAGATGGCGTTGTTTGTCAGAAAAAATAATAAACACAAAAAATCCAAACAAGTACGACTATTTCGACAATCTCATAATAACAAATTGTTTCCGCTCACGGCACGATGGAGGAAAGAAAATTGACAACGATTATTCACACTGGTTGCACATGGTTGATGTCGAATGTTTGAACGTGCGCTGGTATTTTGCTGAGGATATTAGCGAAAATAGAAAAACCTTTCGCGCACACGCTCAACGAACCGAACATCGGCGGCATGTTGTTACGCAAAAAAGTTTTGCTTTTGTTATTATCGTCGGAGCTGGAGGCGGAGGCGGCGTGGGATTGCCTGTTTGCTTGTTAGCGCACGCCGCACAAAGCCGCCAACGTCGGCATATGGATAAGGATGACGAAACGTGACGCGAATATTCGCGCCTATTAATATTGTATTAATGTTTCGTGTGTTGCCTACACCAAAACCGCATTTTTTTCACTTACGCAACATGATTTTATTAAAAAGTCAAAATATAAATTTCCGCGCCACGGGCGAAAAACTTCCGCACGCGTATTTAAAACTTTACATTATATTAAATATAACACACAAATTT